TTATGTTCTTATCACTATTGAACTTGTATGGGAGTCCAGGAGCACCTTCCAGACACACAAGATTTCCGCAGTGCCGGCTTTGGAGAGTCAAAGTCCCCTTGGCCAGAGAACTTGAGCCCTGGGTCACAGCTGGCACCCTGAAATCTTGGTTGAGGAGGTTCTTTCCACTGTGATGCGCACACAAAAGCTCATACCATGAATGAAACTCGGTTGGTCTTAGAGGTGGCCCCACTGGGGGACCCGGACTTTGTTCCGCTGCTTCAGACCAACACAGCCGCCCACTGCTGAATCTACCCTGAAATCTTGTCCATCTCTAAGGGTGACTGGACTCGAATCTGGTGCTTCTGCTGCAGGCCGAGAGGACTGCCCTCGGGAACTGGGCTGTGGTTGGTACTTCCTGAAGTTGCTGAAGACTGCCTGAAGTTTCTGAACTGCCTGCAGGGGCACCCCCCCCCCCAACCACACCCAGAAGATGGCTGTTCTGAGGTCTGGGGGGGGGACCGGATGGCCTCTGAAAGGCAGGGGTGGAGACTCCTCAATCCCCCCCCCCGGGGGGGGGGGTGCACAGAGCTGAACCTGGCCCAGGCCCCTTCTTATCAATCTCTATGAAATAATTTATATTTCCCGAAACCACCAGCCATCAACAATTAATCATGTGGTTTTACAAATATAATTTTATTTCCCACTCTGGATACTGAAGCAGCCAAGATCTAGAATAGAAAAACAGGAAGTTTTGTTAAATCAGTTAAAACCAATGTACAATGAAAGGTCACCAGAGGGTGTGCTCAACAAGAGCAGCTAACTACAGCAAGAACCCACAAGAAGAAACGCGTCCTGACGATGCACTGCTAGAAATCTTCTCTATGCTGCATTTCTTATTCTGTTTTTCTGATTGGTGCTCCCTGGATCTTCTCCCTCGTTCACTAGAAATCTGGCCATGCTGGTTGCAGTCAGAGGAAGGAGGATGCTGCAAGATGAGGGGGAAGAGGCCTTTGCTGAGACAATTAGAGGAAACATTTCATTTGGGTATGAAAGGAATAAGAAAGGACGCAAAGGCGATTGCATTCAATATAAAAAACTAAATTGCCTTGGAAGCATGGAAGTTTTTCACAGTATCCATGATCCTCCATGTTTCCCGGTCTAGGGAAGTATGCTATTCCAACAAATTACAAAGATGATCTGACTCCAATGGTGTCAAGAGAAAGAATTTTTTTTCTTATAAACATCTTACATGACATATTCATGTAGGTACATTGATGTATTGTGAACAGATTAACTTCCAAAAAGGTTAACTTGCTACAGCTCCAAGCCCAGGTAAGAGAGTGAAGAAGAAAGGTCCTCTATAAGATGGAAGGAAAAAACCCAGAAGGCAGGCAAAGGCCAAAAGAGGCTCAACGTCGAATGCATGAGAGGGTGGGGCCAACGGCTAAGTGTACCTTAATTCCCTTAACCCGCACAGAACGCGTGGGTCTAGGGATCTCTAACGGGATAGCGCGCAGCTCAAAAGTGTCACTGACAGGCCACCAGTAACCATGAAGCAACCTTCCAAAACAAGGTATGGAGTTTATTTGGAGAAATATACGCGCAGAGTAATTGAAAAGGTACCCAGGTGATAAGAACAGTGAAATGGTTGTGTTCAAAAAGGAAAAAGAGCAGAGTCTGGCTGAATGAGAGTTCTGCATGGGGGGGGGAGCCTCAAGGAGGAACAGGAAAGAGGAGGTTTTAGAAAAGAGTTTTTCAGAGAAAAGGAATGACCGTCCACAGGTTGAGAATGGGGGGGGGGGGCCCTTTAGGCAGAGCTTCCAAAGACCCCAGGGGAAAAGACGGAAAGGCAGTGGAGGGAAGGTCCTGTGTGGGAAGGAAGTGTCCCAGAGAGAGAGAAGTGGAGCTTCTAGTGTCCTGGCCCCACTGCTGGACCTCCTGATGGCCCCTGGTATTTTTGGCCCCTGTGTGACAACAGAGTGTTGGACTGGATGGGCCATTGGCCTGATCCAACATTGGCTTCTCTTATGTTCTTATGGATAAATATCTGGAGCAGAGGTCCATCAGTGGGCCATTAGCCCCAAGATACAGATAGGAACTCTCGGGATGGGGCAGATGATGCCCTGTATTATAGGTGCTGGGGGGGGGGAACAGTGGGAGGGGCTTCTGGTGTCCTGGCCCCACTGCTGGACCTCCTGATGGCCCCTGGTATTTTTGGCCCCTGTGTGACAACAGAGTGTTGGACTGGATGGGCCATTGGCCTGATCCAACATTGGCTTCTCTTATGTTCTTATGGATAAATATCTGGAGCAGAGGTCCATCAGTGGCTATGAGCCACAAGATCTAGATAGGAACTCTCGGTCTGGGGCAAGGGATGCTCGGTATTCTTGGTGCTTGGGGGTGGGGGCAACAATGGGAGGGCTTCTAGTATCCTGGCCCCGCTGGTGGACCTCCTGATGGCACCTGGTATTTTTGGCCCCTGTGTGACAACAGAGTGTTGGACTGGATGGGCCATTGGCCTGATCCAGCATTGGCTTCTCTGATGTTCTTATGGATAAGCATATGGAGCAGAGGTCCATTGGTGGCTCTTAGCCACAAAGGATAGATAGGAACTCTCGGTCTGGGGCAAGTGATGCTCTGTATTCTTGGTGCTTGGGGGGGGCAACAGTGTGGGGGGGCTCCTAGTGTCCTCCTGGCCCCACTGCTGGACCTCCTGAGGGCACCTGGTACTTTTGGCCACCGTGTGACACAGAGTGTTCGACTGGAGGGGCCATTGGCCTGATCCAACATTGGCTTCTCTTAGGTTCTTATGTTCTTAAGAAGTGTGTGTGCACATGAAAGCTCATACCCAGAAATCAAAACTTTATGGGTCTTAAAGGTGCCTGACTGGACTCCGACTCTGATCTGCCGCTTCCAGGCTGGGTAGACAGAAGGGCTGGGAGGGTGAAGGCTTCCCCCATGCTTGAGGCAGGCCGGTAGGCGAGGAGGCATTCAGGCAAGGTCAGTAAAAGGTAGGCTTGCCTGTGCTCATGGGATTACCTTGATAGACCAAGGTGGGCGTCCTGTGCTGATGGGTGGGCATGTAGATGTCCCATCAGTGAATCAGTCTCCGGCCTGTTTGGTGTAGTGGTTAAGTGCGCGGACTCTAATCTGGGAGAACCGGGTTTGATTCCCCACTCCTACTCTCGCAGCTGCTGGATGACCTTGGGCAAGTCATAGTTCTGTCAGAGCTGTCCTTGAAAAAAGAGCCGTTTCTGTCGGAGCTCTCTCAGCCCCACCTCCCTCACAGGGTGTTTGTGGTGGGGAGGAAGAAGGGAAAGGAGTTTGTCAGCCGCTCTGAGACACCTTTGGATAGTGAAGGGCCATGGGGTATAAATCCAATCTCCTCTTCTTCTTCTGTTCAGTTATTACTATTCCATCTGCAAAGGCAAGCCTCGATTCTCTTGATCCTCCGCTTACATCAGAGTCTGTGTTGCAGGCCCCCCCTTACACACACACACACACACACACACACACACACCCTGTATTATCCAGGGGAAGTTCTCTTCCCTCTCTCATCTTTACAAAAACAAACAGAACCACCCCCCTGCATCCCATGAACTTGCTAAGCAGGTACATAGACAAACAGGAGTGACTTGGACTTCAGACCCGGGCCGCCCGAGCAGGTTGATGATGCTACGTGGCAGGTGGGGTGGGGTGGGGGGCTGGGAAATCCCGGAGGGGGGGTTGAGTCCCGCTCCCTACCCCCAAACAGAAGGGAGCTTGCTGGAGAGGTCCGGCCCCCTTTAGACTCCCCCCTTCTGTGTGTCACACCCCAGCAGCCCGGCTAGCATGAACAAAGTTTGGATGCTCCGTGGCCCAGTCCTGGGAGGCAGGCTGGAAGGTGGGGCTTCACTCCCCTTCCCACAAGTGGGGAGACATCTGGAGCGCCCTGTCCGTGGGGGCCAGTTCTGGGGGAGGAGGGAGGCTTGTGTCCTCCTCAGGGCCTTATTATTCTTGGGGAGTGTGCAGGGGAGGGAATTTACCCTTCAAAAGAATTCATAATAGTCAGACTAAAAAGACTTGAGCTGTCTGATGCAGGGGGGGAGGAACAAACCTCCTTGCCCCCCCCCCCCGGGCCTGACGCCTGACAGGCTCCCTCTGATTTGCCTGGAGTCTCCCAGCAAGGACACCCCAAGCGACTTCGGATGACCCAGCTCCCTGGGGGTCTCCCAAGGCCCGCTGTGACCACCCCAAGGGCCAAACCTCCAGCCCCCAACTCAGCTCTCCGGCAAGCTGTTTGGTGCAGAAAAGAAGGTCCAGAGTGTGTCCTTTTTCGTGTACGCTGGGCCTGCCGTGACCTGAGACTGTCCCGTGGGTGCCAGGGCGGCCGTGAAGCCCAGAGACTGACCCTGCAACAGCAGAGTCCGTGGCATGTCTGTTGAAACCCCCCCCAAGGATCACGATCCTGGGGGCTCTCGGCACCAAATCTGAGATTGTCTCCCTTGACTCTCTCACTGGTAGTCTTTGAGCAGCGGCCGGATGAACACTCGTCAGGGATGCCGTTGCACACATGCGTGAGCCAGGCCACACACGGAGGAATCTGAAACGCGGCTTGCTCTCTTCAACAGGAAAACGTTATTTAACGACAGGTTATTAAACTAGAGCACACAACCAGGGGAAAGGGCTGTCCTGCCTACTCCCTGCGCAGATCCAAGTATGCTTCCTTACCAACAAAGGACTCCCACGCCAAGAATTCTCCGGCACCTCGCAGTAGTCCACGACCCCACGGATTCCCTGGGGGAAGCCATGAGGGGGAGAGGGGCATTAAAGGGAGGTTGGTCGGTTGTGTCCTTCTGTCCTCGCTCGTCCGAGAAACCTTCCTTCCCAAGGCAGTTTTCTGGGTCCCCCCTCTGGGACAACCGGGGCCCATGTGGGACCTCTCGCTTCTCCTCCGGCCAGGTCTCCTGTGTCACCCCCACTCTCTGTTTCGCGCCGTCTCACTGTCCGGCATCCCTCTTTCTGTCCCCCCCGCCAGGTGTGTCCTGCTGCTTTCGGGCTCCTGAGCAGAAGGTGCGATGGCCGCCAGCCTGGTGAAGGTGAACGGGACTGAAGTCTCCGTCGAGGACTCCGGCAGGACTGTCGTGAACGTCAACATCTGCCAGGAATCTTCACTGGCCTACCTGGTTAAGTCCGTGGCGGCCGCAGGACGGAAGTGGCCCGGGCAGAAGGCGCCTGCCCCCAAGACCCCAGAGCCTTCAGCCACGGCCCCGTCCCCTGGCAGAGCGCCGTGCACCGGGGAGCAGAAAGTGCTGGGGGTAAGGGCATTGTGGGGGCATGAGGGGAGGGACTGCTTGAGGAGGAAGGGGCACCCTCGGCTTCCAGTGCCCGGGCTCAGTCTGGGCCCAGAATGCCAGGCAGCCCCTGCACCAGGTGAGAGGTGGGCAGTTACGTCTCGATCAGTTGCTGACACTCAGCCTCTGGGCCTGAGGGCAGGGCATTCTGTACATGCTCAGAGGCCTCTCCCCTCTTCTGGCCTTCAGGGTGGGTTCTCACTTGCAGAGTTGATTGACAGTCAGCGAGGGGAAAGAGAGGGGGAGAAGAAGAGATCCCTCTGTGGCTCCCCAGGGGCTGCCCCATGAGCGCCCCCTCCCCTGGCGCTGACCGGGTTGTCTTTTCCCTTGCAGGGGGTCCAGATCCTGCTTGGAGTCACGTGCCTGGGCCTCGGGGGGGTGATCTTTCTCTTGCATGACTACCTCCGAGTGAAAGGCTCAGGGGCCCCTTTCTGGATGGGGAGTCTGGTGAGTGCTGGGGGGGGCTCCGAAAGGGGCATCCAGGCCCTGGCAGGGTGGGGAGGGTCCCTGTGGCCTGGGCATCCAGGGGGCAGAGGCCTGGCTGCTTTCCCTCCCAGCTCAGGGGGCCCAGAGGGAAGGACACTGCCTTGGGGCTCTCCCTGGGCTGGGGCACTGGAATGGCCCCCATGGTGGTGGTGGGGGTTGCAGATCCTCTGGGCTGGGCTTCATGACTTGGGCTTTACATTTTCTTTCTCCTCCCCCCTCCCAGGTCCTCCTGGCCACCTTCTTCAACCTGGCCAGTGTGGTGGCTGGCTGCCTGGGCTTGGCCTTCGGCGTGGCGGACCTGCCGTACCTGCGGTACACGCCCTACTGGATCGACGAAGCGTGCCGGAGGGAAGGGGGTTACGGAGGAGGTTACAGAGGTTATGGAGGAGGTTACGGATCGTGGAGGGCCACCAGGAGCCCCGACAACGACTGGAGGGTAGAAAGATGCAAGAACCAGATGATGAACCTGCTGGTGAGCGGATCCCCCCCCACCCCCACCCCGAGCCCACCGAGGCCTGGACTGTGGGGCGGGATCCCCAGCGCTTGCGGGGGGGGGGAGAGGAGAGGTCAGGCTTCTAAGAGCTCTGTTGGCTGTGCTTGGTAGGGTCAGAGGTCGTCACAGCCGGGAGGGAGGGAGGGAGGGGTGGGGAGCTAGGGAGAGCCCATTTTGGTGCTGAACTAGATGTCCCTGCAGGGGAATGGCTTTTAAAAAATAAAGGAGAGTCTGCTTGACCTCAGAATGCCCCTGCAGGGGAAGGGAAGGATCCTGCATCACACACACACAGACCAGATGTTTTCACATGCCAAAACAGCACTCGAGAGGGATTTCTTTTCCCATCTTTTGCTGTTCCATGTGGAAGAAGAAGAGGTTGGATTTATACCCCCTGCCCTTCACTACCCGAAGGAGTCTCAGAGCGGCTTACAAACGCCTCTTCCTCCCCCTCCCCACCACAGGCGCCCTGTGAGGGAGTCGGGGCTGAGAGAGCTCTTTCGAGGACTGCCCTTGAGAGAACAGCTCTGAGAGAACCTGTAACTGACCCAAGGTCACCCAGCTGGCTGCATGGGGAGCAGTGGGGGATCAAACCCGACTCTCTCAGATTAGAGTCTGTGCTCTAAACTACTACACCAAACAGAGTATACGTGCCAGTGGAGAAACAAAAATGGGGAAGTAACGCCCCACCCCAGTGCTGTCTCTGAAGGGGAACAACAGCTTTGCAGCGGAAGACAGGCGTCCCCCCCCCCCATGGGACAGTTCCAGGCGCCTCTGGGCTCTCCTTTAAAAAAACAAAACAAAACACCCTTTCCCCTAAGGGCTGCTGTGCAGCTGCAGGAACCCAGACCAAACTCTTTAAAAACAGGCATGTCTAGTTTGGCCCTCTAGTGAGTGCAGAAGGCTGGCTGCCTTTCAGTGAAGCTGAGGTTTGCCTCGTTTCCGTGTGAGGGCAGCTATTTGTGAAACTCTCCCTGCCTTCCTACGAGAGGAAAGTTGTTGGGGCTTTGGGAGTCCAGCGGCAAAAGGGAACCAGGGGCTGAATCCGGCTGAGCCTTTGCTTCGATGGGGAGGGAGCGTTCAGCCAGCCCAGCATGGTGTTGCATTTCCAAAGCAAAACTCCATCCTCAGGAACTCTCACTAGTTGGGGCATACATCAAGATGGGCAGCCATGTTAGTCTGTCTGTAGCAACAGAAAAGCGCTAGAGTCTGGTAGCACCTTAAAGACATGCAGCCAAAGCCCTTTCTGCTGGCACCAAAGGGACTACCGAGGCCTCCCGGCCCCTGTGTAAGGAGAGGTTCCCTCCCGCATCCAGTTAGAGGGCCTGAACTCAACACTTATGAAGGCTTTGCCTATGCAAAAAACTGATTTAGCAGCTGAGTTCTCCAGGATTTATCTATTAAAGAAGGGTGATTATTGACATATAATCCTGATAAGACACAAGAGCATTGGGAGTAAGTTCAGTTCTTTGAAGCCTGACAGAGAACCTGTAGAAACGTTGATCTTTTATTGAGATAAGAAATTGTTCTTTTTATTGAGCAAGACTGGGGGGGCGGGGGAGAAACCAGAAGCATACACCCTACAAATGCTGTGAAGGCAAATGCAAACAAGGAAAAAAATGCACGTGCCCAAATTAAACATCAGTGATCAATACATTGAATTAGACATATAAAGTAGAACAAATTTTCCAAAAACAAGTAGAGGTAGAACAATTTTTCAAAAACAGGTAGAAATTCACTGGTGAAGTTTGAAACAAGTAGAAATTCACAGGTGGAGTTTTGCCACACACAACTCCAGCAGTAAATGGCGGCGCGCATAGATGCAGCGGCTTTGTGCTCTCTCTTTCGGTGTTTTGTATGGCTGTTTTTGTTTGAGTTGTTGTTGTTGTTAACCTTAAGGGGAGTTATGGGATGGTTGTGAATGGTTGTGTGAGTGTATATGAGTATGGTTCACCGAAATGATTGCATCTTTAATTTCGTTGTACTATGTACAATGACAATAAAGTATATTATTATTATTATTATTATGTGTATTCAAGAAAGTCCTTAATCTGAAAGGATGTAGTAGAGTTTTGCTAGCTGACTCGCCGGACCCCTGATTCTGAATCCATTTCAGATTTTTTTTTCAAGAATCATGCTGGATATAGACATCCATAAAGCATATTCAAATGCAACAATCTTCAGTGATTCCTTCATAAATATGATAGCACGATACCATCAACAGACAAGTAACTGCACTCACAATACTGTAAGCAATATTCAATATAAAATATTTCCAAAAGTGGTCACAAAAATAACTCTTACCCAATGCAAAATCTACCATTTCTTGGAATCTCCCTTCAGATTTATGAAGTATTTCACCGTCTACATTAGAGGGAAAGGTTCTCAAACAAAGTAGAATCAGCTAGTGAATTGAATATTCTGCGGTCCTCAAAAAACAGGTGATTCCATTAGATGGATTCCAGCTTCTCTGACTACCATATTGTCTAGAGAAAACAAGCCA